CCATTGCTCATAAGTGGAACGCAGCCAGTCCCAGGCCTGTCTCAGTGAACCTCGTGGTAGGGCTTTAAGATGGTGCTGAGCAGTAGCAGCCCTGCAGAGAAGGAAAAACATGCACTGAGCTCTCTCTTCAAGGCTACACTGTGACGTGGGTGCCCTGGCAGCTCTTAAAACTGGGCTCAGGGCCTATAAGGGCCACAGGATGTCCCCAAGCAAAGACCCTGGATGACCGTGGCATTGATGGGAACTGCTGAGGACTTTGCCCCACCATGTAAAGTTCCTTTGTTTCTGAGCTGACTATTTTATCCATATTATTTCCTTAAGCTATATTTCTAGAATTAAAGTATTTAGATGAAAGGATGTGACCGTTTTACAGCTTTGACCCATGGTGCAGCATATCATTTTTATACCAAGCAACTCTTTTAGTACAGGTGGCAGTATCTCTTTGGACTGTAAGAATAGTAAAATTTGAGTTTCCTTTTTGTAGTCACCAGCTATAACTCCTCTCCCTATTTTCCAGGCAGCAGTTTTTTTTTTCCATATTATGATATAAATGTAGTAGCTTTTTTTTGTCTGTTTGTTTAAGAGAGATTTTTGCTATAGGATGCATGCACTCACCAGAGTGACAGAGAAAATGAGACATCACCTCCCATGCTGACAAAGGTAGTCTTTATTCAAGGTGTTATCAGTTTCCACTCTTCCATGCGCAAGCATTTTCATATTTATTTGTTGCCTTTTCTGCCCCTTGCCTGGGTTTGGAGCCTCACAGGAATCACATTAAAAGTATTTTTGATTGTTTTCTTTTTGGAGCAAATGTGACATTTACTTTATTTCCTTGATTCTGAACTGAGGGCAGAGTGTCAAAAATAATGAGGCCAAATGGATCCGAACACTGAATACCAGTCTGTAACAGTGCTCAGAGATGCTCAGAGACTTTGCCTTTACCGTCATTATTAGAGAGGCAATGAGGGAAAGCTCCTTGGTGGCCATAAAATGAAGAGGAATCGGAAGCAGCTGTTAGGGGATTAGGAAACAGTCCCAGACATGGGTAGCACTCATTTGTTCATGTTACTCACACAGCGTTGTGTAGAGGGCTAGGTGCTGTGATGCAGAGAAAAATAAGGTCTGCTCCTGACCGTTGGGGATTATTATTTGGGACAGAGACATGTAAACCGATTCCTAATGGATCAGGATTTCTAAATAGGAGCTATTATTCTCTCAGTAAATGTTCATTTTTCTATTACTTTCTAGATTCTCTTGTAGGTGCTGAGACTAATCTAGTGAACAAAGCAGATGAAGTACCTCCCTTTATAGAGCCTATATTCTAGTTGGGGATGATGGAGGTGGAAAACAGATATAGGCAATGAACATTATGTCAAATTATATTAAGAGCCATAAGAAAAACTAGACAGGTAAAAGAGACAGGGATTTTTAAGCTCCTCACTGATCAGGTGAGATTTGAGCAGAGATCTAAAGAAGTAAGGGGAAAAAATCAGGTGACTATCTGGGGGGAAGTGTTTAATAGCCACAGGTTACATTTATTGAGGATTTACTGCATGTCAGGTACTCTTCTAAGCACTTTATTCACTTAATGTTTTAATTCTTATGAGGTTACATAAATATAGGTATAATTATTATCCCCTTTTCACAACTTTGAGGATTTACCACATGTACTAAGTAAATGATTCACTATAAACTTATATACAATTAAACCTCTAATCAGAATACTATAAGATACTCTGAAGATATGGTGGAAACCTGTTTTAACATTTTTAAATACATGTCGTAGCACCAGCAGTACTACCAAAATAGGGTCGTCGGGAAAGTCATGATGTTTACATAGAAAAGCACACCATGATTTTCATGATGACCTAATACAACTTCGTGGCCCTCCGCAAGGCATTTTTTTTCATATACTTATTAGAATAACATTCTAGGGACCAGCAGTTAGAGTAATGGCTATGTCGCTGGACTCCCATGTAGTCGACCGTGGTTCGCGTCCCGGACCTGGTGGCTTAAACTCCTGCTGGGCGTGTGTGCGTGTGTGCCCAAGATCCCGGGAGGAGAATGGAGGAGAGGGGATTGCGGTGTGACCATCAACCCTGGGGGGTGATTTCTCACTTTCTGTCTCTCTTTCTGGTGAGCGCACACACCCTATAGCAAAAACCTCTCCCAAAAAAAAAAAGAAAAAAAAAGAATAGAATGACATTCTATTACTGTTTTTGGTTAGGAGGAGGTGTTTCTTCAAGAAGGATGGGAATTAGGTGAGACTAGTGGGTCTCACAAATTTCTAAAATTCATATTTCTTCATGTTATTAAACAGCAAAATAAAAGAGAAACTCAAATATGAATTAACACAAATTATAAATTAAAAATCCAAATGAAATTTTATTGTGATATTTATATTTTAAAGGAAAAGCTCAGTGACCAAATACAAAAGCAGCTTGAATAAACTCTTAGAGGTTACTGATTACAAAGAAAACAAGCACTCTTCAGTTTAGCTCTTTCACGAATTGATAAAAGGCATTTTGATACGTATGTGTGTGTTTTATGTGATATGCCAATAATGCTTAATATACAAGGCATTCCCAGATGGTTTCTGCTCTACCAATGAATTCAGAGATAACTCGTCAGCTACTCTACTCAGCATCACAGTTAAAGCTCTCCTTACTGTTAGAAAGAAAGGAGCTGTAGGTTAAAGAAGGCAGGTTTGCTCTTAATAGAATACCATAATTCCAATGATGATATATAAATTCATTTCTTTTTTCAGGTACCCCAATTATGAATTTATTAGTGATAACTCCATCTCTTGGTCAGCTGGACTGCACAATCGATACACAGAAAATTCACTTCGGGGCGTGATCCTGGATATACACTTTCTTTCCCAGGCAGACTTCCTAGTGTGTACTTTCTCATCCCAGGTAAGTGATAGTGGGTGTTTTTAAATGGCCAATACATTTTAGTCATGTTGAGGTCAGGGACATTATTATTTATGTATTCGTGGGGTTTTTTTTGGAGAGGTTTTTGCTATAAGGGTGCATGCACTCACTAAAGACAGAGAGAGAGAGATAGAAAACAAGATACCACCCCTCTGGGGGATGGCCACACTGCAATCCCCTCTTCTCCATTCTCTTCTCAGGATCTTGGGCACGCACGCACACATGCACGGCGTGAGTTTAAGCCAACGGGTCTGGGCCTCGAACTGCTGTCGGCTACATGGGAGTCCAGCAACCCAGCCATTACGCTAACTGCTGGTCCCTGTATTCGTGTCATTTTAATTTTAGCTATAGTGACTCAAGTAAATTTCTAGATATATAAGTTAATAATCCCTTTTGTGAAAGAAAGATCTCATAAAATAGGTATTTGAGTGCACTGAGTATTTAATTGTTTGCAAGTAATGGTTGAGTACATTCTCCACCGAAGCCAGTTATTAGAGTTGTTTAAAGTACTCAACTGGTTCACAGTATTTAACAGAAATAGCAAGTAATTAAGCTCACTTAATACTTTTTGATTTTACAACCAGTCAATATGTAACCAAAATCCATCCATTTCTACACATCAGTGCCCTGAAACTGAGAGTCTCAAATTCCCAGCATTTTGGATCATTTGGTTACTTTATAAAAGAAAAAAATAGAAAGGAAATGTAATTTCCTCTCAAGTCCTGTTACATTTTTACCAAGCAAGAAACTTAAATTAAAGCAATACAGTATCACAATCACTCTTTGGGTTTCATTGTTGCAAAAAATTATGTTATGGGTTTGGTGTGTCTTTTTTTTTTTTTTGTCTTTATGTTTCTTCCATGGGTTGGGGGAAGAGAGAGAAAGATAAGTGGTTCTAAAACCGTAGTCCACTCTCAGCACAAGCATGTGCATACATGCCTAAACAGAGACCTTGGGATGTGTACCCAGGACCTTCTCACACGGACTCAGCATTGTGGAGCATTGTGTTATCACTGCACCACTGCAGCTGGCTGTGGTGTATGTGTTTTACAAGTGGCCCAATCAGCTTTATATGCCCTGTGGAATATTAGTCTAGCAATATTTATTATGAATTTTGTTCTGCTCTTTCATTTATGTACTTATTATTGGTTAATTCATTCAATCAGGTATTAAATGATTGTACTTTCAATTATACTAGGTAAGGGGCCAGCAGGTGGCATGGTGGTTAAGGGCACTGGACTCCCACATGGCCAACAGTGGTTTGAGTCCTGGACCTGGCAGCTTGCTTTCTCACTTTCTCTCTCTCACTTTCTCTCTCTCTCTCTTCTCTCTCTCTCCTCTCTCTCTCTCCCTCCCTCCTTCCCTCCCTCTCTAATCAAATGAAAATAAAGCAATAAAGTTAAATAAAATAATTATTTAAAGAAAATTATACTAGATAAAGAGATTTCAAATAAAACTGAAGATATAGTTCTTGTTCTGGTCCAAAATCTAATAATAATTAGCAAAATAGTCATATGAAATAACTAGAGATAATTACTAAAAAAGTGACATAAGGTAAATGGCTGCCTAAATGCTGAGAAGAAACAGAGAAAGAAAATATGTAAAAGGAAAGCAACATCATTTTCATGGGAATATGAAATATTCTGAAAGAAATGTCCAGGTTTTTGTTGTTGTTATATGATGATACACATTGCCATAGTGGGATGATGTTAAAGATTATGGAAAGATAGCTACCCAGGCAGAGGATACCATTTTCCTTCAATATGATCTTATGTGGAGGTAGGCACTGAGAGTTACAGGGATTTGCTTTTCACACTTTGATTTCCTTCCTCTGGAATGGAAGGAAAATTCTTTTCTTTTTTTTTTCCTATTCAAGTATGTGCTATAGAATTTTTGTTCCTCACGATTCTATTTTTGACCCAGAAATCAAGAGCTCTGTCACTTCATGAGGGTGGGATTTTTTTTCCAAGCTTGAAAATATTTGTCCTGTCACATGCATAATTCTCAGCCTCACTTTTTTCAGACCTTAGGGCCAGAGAATCAGTTCATATGAAGAAAGAGTGGTGTCAAGAGGACTTTTTTATCCAGAGGAAATTTATGTTTATGTATTAAATTGTTCTAAAAAACTCTTGGTGGTCAACGTTCACCCAAAATTATTCCTGCCTATTTGAACCAAAGCAAAACTCAAACAATATTTTGTACCCTAAAATAGACTTGATATACCTCTAAATATTTATGCTAAGGCTCAGAATAAAAGTTTAGTAGTAAAAGCTACCTTACATTTATATAGTGAATGGCTCTTTTCCAAATATCATTGCTTTCATTATCACATAACTTATTTGATGACTAACAGCTGTAGCACTTGAGATTATAGAATAATTCTGCATTCATTAACAAATCTTTGAGCTTTCTGTGCCTTTAACTGAAATTGGAATTATTTGAAACATGCCCCAGAAATGTCTGCCATTATCACCAATAGGGCATGAGAAAAAAGTCACTGATAGTATCAAAATGCCAAGCCATCGATTTCACGGGACAGAGGATCAGAATGAGGGACTATGGACTCTGGAGTCAGACTGTCTTCAGACTATGTGTATTTGAGTCCAACTTCAACCAAAATTTAGTGGCTATGGGGTTTTGTGCAAATTACTTAGCCTGTCTCCAACTGTTGATGGTTTTTGTTTTTCACATGTAAAAACAATGATAATAGTAGTACCTACTACATGTAGTTTTGTGAATATTAAAGAATTATTACATATGAAGCATCAAAAATAGTACTTAACAAATGTAGCTGCACTGATTATATATCTAGGACTACTCATAGGAATCACTTTGCCTGTTAGATTCTACAGTTTTCATTTTAGCAGCTCTTTTTCGCATGACTCCAGATCGGACTCTGTCTATACTTTCGCATTTTAGAAGGACCATGAAACATGCTGTTCCAGGACTCCTATGACCGCTGTTTACAGTCATGGGCAATGTTTAGGGTCCACCCAGTCACCATGTGTATTTGACAGGTATAACCATTCTTCATTAAGAATTACCAGTAACATTCAGCATATTCATTTCTCTATGCCAGCATACCAACTCAATTCCATTTAGCTTTTTGAAAGAGAACATCACTGCATAATGTGAGTTTTCAGAACCAAAAAGTACTTCATTCCCAAAGGGTGAGTGATCAGTAGTAGTAGTATTTGCTATGGCAAATGCATGTGAAAGTTTCTGGGTATTGACTTTATAGAAATTAATCCTCAGACTTTCCTGTACATGCCACAGGCATCTTAGAAAATGGGGAAGATTGAAGCCAAATATCTAGAAGAGCAACCAGAGTTAAAACGCTGAGAACCAAGTAAATGAGACACGGACAGTCCACTTTCAACTGTCTTTAATGATAGTCTGAGAGATGATTACAAGTTATAGAAGTTCAATATCATTTTCATAATGCCTTAACATGTAAAATTCTGTTCCTCTATGCTGTCCTTTGAGAATCTTTATAGTGTATCACAGCAGTGAGAAAGACTCGACTTGCTGACAGCAAGCTACTGTGGGCAATATTGGAAAAATGAAATGCCATGGGAGGAGGAAAAAACGCGAGATTTGATGTCTAAAAAACTGCAGGCACAAGTGTCTTGTCACCTTAACTGGGGTTCCGCATTAGGTTTTGGACCCATCCTCCTCTGTCTTGGGGCTTCTAATCTTTCTTTGTTTTACATGCACAAGTGAGGTCTGGAAATTCTCTCTTGAAATGAAAAGTTTTTGAAGCCAACAATATGGCTCTGCTCTCTAATTTCGTTACTATTGTTGCTCTTAGTTTTTTGAATCCCTTCATCAGGGCTGTTTCTCAAAACCAAGTTTATCCTCATAAATGGAAGAGCACAGTCCTCAGGATTTAATATGAAAATTAGAAGCGATATTAGCATTTTCCAAGAACATCAAGTGAATTTTGAAAGCTGTGTAATCACATTATAAACCATTCTACCAAATATACTGATCTCGCTCTGTTACTGGAAATTGCCTATGCTTAAAGCATCTACTTTGTCACTTCTTTTTGCTGAAACCATCTTAAATCAGAAGCAAAGAAATTATAGTTAAGAAATGACAGTGGTTGGCAGTTCAGTTGTAGATGGGCAAGATGTCAGAAATTTTTTTTGAAAATATTGTTTATCAGGTTCTGAAATTAGTTTTTATTACTCTGGAATCTGATTTACAGAAATGGTTGTAGATACATTCTTTAAAGACTTCAAGATTGTTCAATGAACAATCAACATTCTTTGGTTAAAAATCACCAGCAGATAGCATAATGGTTATGTCCCACATAGTTGACTACAGTTCGAGTCCTGGACCCAGTGGCTTAAAACTCACTCTGGGTTTATGCGTGTGTACCCAAAATCCTGAGAGGAGAGTGGAGGAGAAGGGATTATGGTGTGACCATCCCCCCTCCCCCGCGGGTGATTTTTCACATTCTGTCTCTCTGTCTCTTTTGGTTTCTCTGGTGAGCACACACACCCTATAGCAAAAATGTGTATAAATAAATCAATAAAATAAAATAAATAAATAAATCACCATCAAGGGCCAGCCTGTGGTGTGATGGTTAAGCCAGCTGGAACCCACATGGCCTACTTATGTGTTTTGAGTCCCAGACTCCAGTGGCTTGAAAAACATGCCAGGTTGGGACCAGCAGATGACAGAGTAGTTAAGGTGTTGAACTCCCATGTAGCAGACCGTGGTTCGAGTTCCAGACCTGGCAGCTTGCTTTCTCATTTCTTTCTTGCTCTCTCTTTCTGGTGAGCAGACATACCCTATAGCAAATTTAAATAATAATAATAAGTACCATTTAAAAAAAAACAAACAAACAAACAAGAAAAACAGGTGCATGTGCATGCACGCCCAAAATCCTGGGTGGAGAATGGAGAAGGGATTGCAGTTGTGTCTGCTGCCCCTTGGGGATGCTTTCTCAGTTTTCTTCTCTCTCTCTCTCTCTC